AACATGACAAAAGCATATTTTAGGTATGTTCAACTGAAGGAACATGGCAACCTTTTGAAGCCTTTTAACATGTGAAACATCTATTACATTTAATAATTAGACAACTAAATTGTAAAAAAGTACAATTTTATCCTAGCATTTGTTTAGGCCTGCCTGAGTGTGGCAGGTAAAGACTCTGAATTCCTTTGTGAAAAAGGCTATACATAGACATATTCTGCTTTTATGTGAAAGAGGCTCCTACTGGTCCTTCTGTCCTTCCCTGTAAATTCATAACCAGGATGAATGTCAAATAAATGCAACATATAATTACACAAAATTTCAATACAGTCAGCAAATTAACTTCACATATCAGAGGTGTTTATACGATGAAGACATCTTTAAAATGTGATATCTACTTAAAATTCTATTTACTCATCAATAAAATCAATACAATACAGTATATGCCATCTGTCCAAGTTTAAAGCGTTAAAAAATTTTCTACAGAATTCTCTGCAAAAGATTTCGCATGCAAAAGTTTCTATATTTTTTCAGTATTAAATTACCTAACTTGTGGTACATCTGCTTTTCTTTGATGAGTGGCAAGATTGCTTTTTTATCCTCTGTGTTCAGATTAGGGAACACGAGTCTCTCAACGTCGTAAATGTTGACTTCCTGCAATAAAATAAATATTTTTATTCTCGTAGGCTTGGCAAGAAGGAAATACAATTAAAAAAATTTTTTTTTTTAATATTTACAATTGAGATCTTACTATATTTTATCTGGTTTCTGTATTTGTTGCTTATTTTTATTGAATGTGATTGTTGTCTTTTTTGTACTTAATAAAAAAAAAACAATTTCATTTTATTCCATTTTGTTTTTAAGTGACATAAAGATCACACTTTTAACACTAAAGTCATAAGAATGTACACTACTTAACTTAAAAATTAGTATAAAATTTAGTTTCCATATGGTTATTACAGTACGTTTAATGCTTGCAATACACCACTTTGTGGTGTACCACAAGTATTTAATACATTATTGCTTTGCCATGCAAACTTTCAAACATTTGGTTATTGTAAGATAAATCCTGAGACTTGCGGGACACTTCACACCCCCGATGTAACTTCAAAAATAGGTAAAATAAACTAAACATTTAGCATCTGGTTTTTTTTTTTTTTTAATTATCTGAAAAGCAAGGAAAAATTATGTCTCCTCTAAAGCAATTCAGATAATAAAACTTTGAAAACCCTTTAACTATTTTTTCATTCTACCTCTTAATTGATTGCAAATAAAGCATTTCAAATATATTGAATCTTATTGTTTAGGCGAGACTTTTTTCATTCCGTGTTTCACATACTTATACACATAGATTATCGGAGGACGGCGGAATAAAAATGAAAATTTTATTTTCTTATTTAGCCAATATTTTTGCCAAAATCATCAAGATGGAGGAGGAAATAAAAATGTTATTGGTGAATGTAAAATAGGATGGTTAAATGCTACAAATTTATATAATTAGGAACAAATATACATATCTTTGAAGATGTCAAGGCAATGGAAGGCGTAATAAAAATAAAGCAAAAAATGTCAATTTTTTCGTGGCAGCGGGTGCGTTAATTGGCAAAAAATAAAATTTTATTTTTATTTGAAATCATCAATATTTGCAGTCGGCAGGTTCACTAAACAAGGTATAAATAAGTCTCGCCTTATGGTACACAGTAACTCAAGACAGACATCAGTACAGAGGGTTCCCAAGTTGGACAAAGTCACTTCCGGAAGATCAGGTTAAAGGAGCTTCCTTAACGCATCTAATTTCAATCTTCTACGCATGGTGTTACCCATCATCACAAATTTCCGTGAAACAATTGATAAATAAAGTAGTAGAAACATGCAAATATTATGAATTTGCAGAAGATGGGTCATTTTCAGGGAGATTCGTGCTTGCTTGAAGGAGTGCGGGAGGCCGTCGTGATTTCCAGGAGACTCTCTCAACTTGCAGGAGATTTTGGACACTCGGTAAAATATCTTAAATTTTGTTTAATTATTTCTGTTGTTTCAAACACTTAGTTACTGTACTGTACCTCACAGAATTTCTGCATATTTCCTTTCAATATTTCATCCTCCCATTTTCTCCACATTCCAGTCTGAATCTGCATTCCTATTATAAAATGATAAATATATTATGAAATGTTATATGAAATACATTCAATTTTACTTAATAATTTATGTAAAGTTTAAAACATCTAAACGAGGTGTGTATATACCTTTCTCTTGAAGTTTAACTGTTGTTTCCTTTGTTATACTTTCCCAAATACCAAAATCATGCAATTGAGCTGATGGGAATGTTGCAAAGCCACCTTCCAAAAAATGATCAAGAGATAGATCTGTAGATGCTGTATAATAATCCTTTATCGACGCAGGATATTGCCTTGAGCTGGAGATGGTAGGATCATCTGGTGGAGTTATGTGATCATCTGGTACAGTCATGTGATCTTCAGTGGCATCTTCATTAACATCATGCTTTATAATTTCCTCCGACTCAATATGAATGGTTTGTTTATGTTTCTTACTTTTCTTCTTTGTTGAACGAGGGGGCTCTTCATCATCTTCCGCATGTGTTTCCATTGTTTTCTTACTAATTAATAATTCATCAGATTTCAATGATCGCTCGCTACTTTTTATCCTATCGTGTGAATGTTTATGTTTCTTGTGTTTTTTCTTGGCTGGCTTTTTAACACTTTTATCAAACTGTTCTAAGATTTTGGTGCCTTCTCTTTGTACTTCACCTGGCATTTCACAATGATCACTCTTTTTCTTCTTTTTCATTTCCATCTTTAAGTCTTCATTTTGTTCAGCTCCATTATTTATTGTATCAGAATTTGTTAAAAGTGTATTTTGTTCTCCATCTTTGTCTTTATTTTCATATTTAGTATGTTTTTTCCTCTTCTTTTTAATTGTAATTTCTGAATTATCTGTAAAGTGATCAGCTGTTTTTAGAGATAAATCAATTTTTGAGTTGTCTTGATTCACAATACTCCTTTTCTTCTTTTTCGTTTCCTCATTTTGTTCTGGTTCAATATCTATTGAATCAGAAGTACTTGGTAAAAGTGTGTCTTTTTCTCCATCTTTGTCTGTATTGTTATATTTAGTATGTTTTTTCCTTTTTTTCTTTTTAATTTTAATTTCTGAATTATCCAAAAAATGATCAGTTGGTTTTAGAGATAAATCATCTTTTGAGATTTCTTGATTCACAATAGTTAGATTATGTTTCCGTTTCATCCCGCTTGTTCTGGTTCTTTATTCTTTCACATCCGCAGATGAATTAGCCAGCATCAGCAACCTTTGTCCACATTCTATGCTAACATCAATACAATAGTTAATCAATGTGTATCAATCAATTTCATGACCATTATCCTCCTGAAAAATAGGGAAAGTAGCATCTGTTCATATTTAACCTGATTTGCATAACTGTAGTACATACTACTAGCAGGCACAAAATATGAGTCAAAAAACAGACAGCACTGCACAAGAAGAGGGTCACGCAAGTAAACATTTCGTAACCAATACATGAAATGGTAAATATCTGCTACCCGCACAGCACACCTAGATTGAAATGTTGGGCATGCGTAGCTCAGGTCTGTAATAGACTTTTTAATTAGGAATTAATATTTAGACATTTAGGCCTAGGCCTCTACTAGGCCTAGTAGTAGTATAGCCCTACGTAGGGTGTTGAGTGGGCATATATTCGTGCGGGCCGCGAACAAGTTCACGACATTCGCCTACCTAAGACAATATTTCTAAGATCGTCTACCCTGCCGAGTCAGAATCGGTTTAACTGTTTCGAGATAAACACTAATAACCGTTTACCTTTAACTCTTCTTTCCTATTAGTTAGGCCCAGATAAGTTATGGAATATACTTGGCTAAAACTACTGCATCTAGAATCTGTGTTTATAACTGATACTATCTCGAGAAGCAACACATGTTGTTGGAAGGACGCCCTCTAGTGCCATGGTTGTTTTCTCAACAAGACCTTTAAACTTTCATCAGAAGTCCCTGCGAGTTTGCTGAAATTCTTGTTAGATTTGCTGTGTAGATTAAAAAAAGGCTCATTCCGTAAGATCCATAGGGTGAGATTGAAATAATTGTTTTGATTAAACGTAAACGGTGGCACAATTCCCTTATATAATGCCAATCTATGAATGAATGTAGGTTTAGGCCTAGCTAGCTAGGCTATGAATGGGCCTCTATAGGCTAGAGTACTAGCTAGGTAAGGTAGGCTACTTACCGCTTGTAGGCTTAGCTAGGCTTCCTAGGCCCTAACTAAGGGCGTAGCAAGCGTAGAAATAAGTCTTTGGTGGACGTTAAAAGAAATGGCTTAGGGCCTATGTATGTCTTTTAAGCCTGATAAATGCAGTGTTCTACGCTTCATTCTGTACTTGAAAGAGAAACATTCCCAAATTTTCTTATCGTCTGTCAGGTTATGTCCTCCAGCCCCTTCATCAATACAAACATCTTCGAACAACTCTATCTACTGATATGAAATGGAACCCGCATGTAGACAGGGTAGTCAATTAAGCCAATGGTGCAGGCAGTGCTCTGCAGCAAAAGTCCAAGCATATAAAAGTCTGGTTTGACCACACGTTGAATACAGCTCTGTATGGAATCTGCATACCAAAGGTAACATCCAAAAAGTTGAGGCTGTCCAAAGACGTGTGACTCGCTTTATTACCCATAACTATAAGTTAGACTCCTCTGTTACTGCTATGGTATGCTTAAAGAAATCAACCTCCCTCCACTTTTACACAGACGAAAAGTCAACAGACAAGTAATGATGCGCAAGATTATTCATCAAAATATTGATCTAAAGTTTGATACCACCTGGAATTCAACACACAAGCGACTGCTTCTAGGTGCACTAGAAACCATAACGCCATTTCATTAAAGTTACCAAAGGCCAAAACAAATCGCTTCCTATATTCCTTTTTTCCCAACACAGCTAAAGACTGGAACGCCCTCCCTTATTCCACTATTTGATTAATAATTCTGTTGCCTTTTGCAAGCAAATTGCTAACTATGACTAGTCCCACCTCTTTCGCCACTATTCAACTATTGAGTGATAATCTAGCCTAATCAAGATCAAGAGTTATATGCAATTTGTTGGATTTTTCCACAAATTTCTTTGTGTTTTTGACAAAACCATTTGCTAAATAAAAATATTTGTATTTATTCTTTTCTGCCCTTTTCCTGATGATCTTTGAAAACAATAGGTTCGCGAACAAGGTATAAAAAAAGTCTTGCCTAATAACTACTGTAAAGTAAGTAGTGTTCACAACATTTTATATATTTTAAAATTAAGTTGTTCATTATTTCAGATCCAACTGTCCAACAAGGTTCTTGAGGTTACTTTATGTGGATGATGATTGTCCAAATCTCTTTAGTGATGATCCAGGGCAGTTGATAAAAACTCTTATCAGAGTACTGTATTTTCATACCTCAATACTGTATGTAAATTTAAACATTCATAAAATAAAATCGTTTACATTCCAAAAATGGCTGAGGCAAATCAAGGACAACCAGATGAGGAATTGACTGTGCCTCGTGCAGCTTTGAACAAGATGATCAAAGAACTGTTACCGCACACGCGTGTTGCAAATGATGCCCGCGAACTGATTCTCAACTGCTGTACAGAGTTTATTCACCTGATTGCATCAGAGGCTAATGAGATTTGCAATAGACAGACAAAGAAGACTATATCCCCAGACCATGTGTTAACAGGTAAACGTAAATTTATTTTCCAAAAATTTGTGCTACACCAAGATGCGTTTAATAGTTTTGTGCCAGTTAAATATTCATAAAGCGCAGATATTGCACTAATTGTTGTATCAAAAATGATATCTACATGTTGACAGCTTGTATTAAACAGAATTATGACATGGGACAAACTAACATTTCTGTACTTTGATACTTAAATGATGGATTTTAAGCCCTTTCATTATCTTTTTCCCAACCAAAGTGAATAGGCTGAGTGATCTTTGGCAAGGGATCCTATTTAGAGCTAGGCCATAATAAAGGAAATATATATTACCATTGCCAACTGACTGACCCTGATTTTCACATGGCAGACACAAAAATTTTTATATTTTGGCCTTATAATTTTGTAATTATAATTAATAGCACTAGAAAGGCTTGGCTATGCATCCTACCTTGATGACTGTCGATCTGTACTCCAAGAGTGCAAAACAGAGGCTAACAGACGGCGCCTGAAAAGTCATCGTTTAGAGAACCTCGGAATACCAGAAGAAGAGTTGCTACGACAACAACAGGCACTTTTCGAAGAGGTATGTACACTTTCTGTGTTGAGTCATTTGGTTAACTTTTTCCAGGAAATCATCCAAGCATTTGCTTTTGCTTATTATTATTATTGTTCCTAAATTAGCAATTTCTTACTTTGCCAAAATTTGCATAGTTTAATGTCTATATCAAACACCTGGATTGTTAACATGCATTGATGCCCTAAAAAAAAACATCAATTTTTTACTTTTTTTATACAGTATGTTATGTATTTAATTTTAGCTCTATTATGTGGCTGTTTCTATGACTTTATGCCAGAATAGAATTAAATTCTATTTCCAAATGGTCGATGTAGTAGTAGAACACATGTACATTTTATAAATTTTATAAAAAAACACAACAGCTTAAACTTCATTATAGACAAGTGCCTATATTTAATGCATTGGCTTTCACGGCCCCAAACCAGACATGTTTCGGTAGATCTACTACCATCATTATGGAAAACTGTTCACATCTGCAATGTATATATATACATATATACATAGGAATAACAATTAACAATAAATAAATTCTATTTATTTCTAATAACTTGCCGTTTGGATTTTTGTAGGCCCGGCGACAGCAGGCAATTGCAGACCAACAAGAATGGCTAGAGATGCAGGCGGCAGCAACAAATCAACAAGCTGACCAACAAGAGTTAGGTCAATTAATGAGTCCACCACCTATTCCAGGCCAGCATCCACCAGAAATGCAGCCTCCAGAGACATGAAACCCACAGCAAGACCAACATACTCTCCCATGGAACCCAGCAGTGATAGTCTACTCATTCGGCCCCATACAGACGTGAATCTAATACTACTGCCAGTGTTAAAAATGATGAGTTCTCAACCTTCTTAATATTTTAACTTTTTAAATAATTTTTCTAGAAAATACACAGGATTTGTTTGTGTTTAGCTCTGATGAGGAGCTCTAGAAACACTCAGCTGATTGATTAATAGATCTTTTTTTTTTATGGGTGGCCGTTAGGGCCAGTATACTCTACTGCCTCTATTATGCTGTGCTCATTGGAGCTTCAGAGATTACAAGAACTTTTTTTTTTTTGGCTTTGATTGAAATATATTTAGAGGCCTTGTTTGCCTCTAGTTGAATTGTTACTCAGCCTAACCAAGGAGAAATAACGCATTACATTATTATATGTATCTGAAATAATTCACTTGATAAATGTCAAATGCTATAACAGGTGTTACGTACACTTAAGATAACCAGATAAATAAACATTAATACCTAAATTGAATCGGGGACAATGGTTACTACCAGTTTAACTGACTGATGATGATGCTTGTGATGTTGCAGAGGGAAGATAGGCTGAACACTGTTACTATGCACACAGATGATGCTAAATATCTTGGTAGCTTACAGGCTTACTATACATTCTCCAGTACGCATTTGTCTTGTTTAAATCTGGTATCCGCTTGCTTTTTTTTTGTACAGATTATACAGCTTTTTCTGTACCTGATAATTAAGTACAATTTACTGATGGAAACCAAAAACTTGATAAAACTGATGATTGCATCAATTTTAACTTACGTGATGTAGAAATGTACTGAATACTCAGTACGTGTGAGAACAATTGCGAAAAAATCGGAAGTTGTCCTCGGGTGTAATTCGAACCCACGATCTCCAGATCACTAGCCTGGCATCATACCTCTGGACCACCAAGCTTGCACCTGATGGCCAGGGTTGAATACAAAATTATACCTGTAAATATAAATAAACTCCTTAAGAGATGCATTTTGGTAAACAATTAGCATCCATGTGATGTAAAATATGCTTATGGTGGC